ACTCACCCCACAAGGGACTGGACCTGATCCTGGATTGACTGATGGGCAGAAAATCTCATCCTAGGCGGAACACGAACCTTTGCCCCGCACTTACGCAGCTACTGTGTTTATCATTGCGCTGCCAGGGCTTCCTTCGACCCTCCTATTGTGCGCTGTTTTGCTCTCTTATTACTCCTGTTGATGAGGCTGGGGAAGGAGCTTTGTTATTATTCGGCGGTGGAGGGGAGGGAGGAAAGTGGATCCGCGCACACTGTTACACGGCAATAAGAGATTGAACCCATCAGCGAATCAGTGAACGGTCGTGATCAAAGAGGCTCCATCTGGGAAGAGTGAACGGTTCGATAATGAAACAAATACTTACTAGGCATCGAATTATGCGGGCCAGCTTCACGATGCCTTCTACACATATGCCCGTGCACTGAATGCTTCTCTTCAAGTGGATCCCACAGCATATCGTAATGGATCGCTACTTTTTGACAACATCGTAATGAAATTCCAAGGTAAGCATCTGACCACTAGTGCAGAAGCATTTTTTATGAAATGGTTGAATTCGAGAATATAGCTTGATCTCTTCGTCAAGGTTGAAGCGAGCAAAGGGTTGTTCGCAAACTGTTCGCCACCTTTTCAGTGGCATTTCTCAAAGTTTCGCCGAAGGACGAGGGGTGTTCAATGTATTCTCGATACAGATATGAAGGAAAAGGCAGAAAATTCTGAACAAACAAATTTGTTTTCTAATGTTGTCCCCCATAACCTCAAAACATTTGCTTCCTCGGGAAACTGACTTTTCAGTACCCTTTAGAAAAGGTTTCCTTCCTTGTCCCTTCCAGCTTTTCATCGTCAGTAAAACGCTTCCAGCTCTTCATCGTCAGTAAAACGCTTTCCACAGAGATATTTTTAGGTTGGGGGATTAGGAAGTGATCGCTAACCATTTCCTCAATATTCTTTTCATTTTCCCAATTTTTTCCTATTTTTCAATTTTTTAACCAGTATTTTCTCAACACTGTTGCATCAGTCACCTTTCACCAAGGATCGACTAGAACAGCATTGATGAATTAACTCAATGAATTTGGTATTTATACTACCCTCAGAGAGCTCCCGACTATTACTTATTGAAATGATTTCACGTCCTTGGGTAAATTACCAAGAAACCCTGAACGCCCCTAGTAGTTAGGTTTTTGAGTCAGTCTCTTAGTAAATTTGGTGCCTCAAGGTGCTTTGGCGCTGGGCGTTCCCGAGCTAAGTAGACTTGAAATTCAATTTTGCGGGTTGAAATTACTGGGTTTATGGAGTTAGTGAGCCTGGAGTCTACTCCAAATCCAAAATAAAAAAATATCAAAAGTGAAAGCACAAAAAAATTGAAGTGGAAACTAAGCACGGGACAACGCAATGATTCGTAGGGATTTTCTGTTGAAAACTGTAGTGCTGAAAAATTCTCGGCCTCCTCCTGATTCCTGAGCTGTCTCTCTCTTAACATGAGGTGATTTCTGTAGGAGAAAAAAGGTTGTCGCAGGAGGTGTGCTATTATGAATTCCCTAGCCCAGACACCTAACTTTTTCGCATTCCTTGCACCAAAGTGGCGAAGAGTTCCCCTAATCATTCCTTCCATTTTCATTTTAGTGAAGGTTGGTTATTGTTACACAGAATTAACATAAAGGGGAGGGGAGGAAAAGAATGTAATTGTTTCAGTAGCTCTAGTGCCAACCTAATACCCTTAGCAGAGAGGCCAGAACCCGCTTTGAACAACCTCGATCAGTTTTTGAAAACTCTAACTGATTTTTGGAAAAATCGGAAGTAAAGTAGAAATGGACAGCGTTGGAAAAAGTATAATAACAAGGAGTATAGTACAGGTGAGAACTAGGAATTTTGTGCCCCTACCACTAATACCGTACACTTTCACTGAAGAGTGGGATGCCGCCAGTGCCAATAGGTGCAAGTTTGGTCACACCACATTTTCAGCGAGTCGCCGTTACAAACCTATGTTTGGCGGGCAGTCGGGAGAGTAACGATTAGCCTGCGCCATTATCACGGCCACACTCAGCGCCAATACAGGGCGCTCCGAATATCCGCGCTTTGCTAACTCTGAGCCTGGCGGGAAGAGAATCCCTCCTCGTCCCGAGCTCAGCCCTAGTCCGCCGCTGCGATAAGCCGTTGCTGTTCAGTCGCTTGAAAAATGGATGACCTGTTTTATTCAGGTTGTATCCAGATTCTGACAAGAAAGGTGCAATTGGCGACTGTGCGTTAAGTAGATAGGCACTGGAGTATTCATAGCGCAAACAATAAAAGGATAAAGACCTAAGTCTTCGCCGTTGCAATCAGACACACAAGAACCGACCTTTGTGCGCCAACGCAACCGTCATTCTACTTCCTTCAAAAAAATCGTACTGGCTGTATTATATGCGATTTGGCCAACATAGTACAATGACTTTGACGCGCGGGGCCAGCCCAACGTACAGGTCAGCTATTTAATTCATCCCAGGACAAATCTGGTAACCAAGATATTAATCTACCAGAGAAACTAGCAAGGCTTGGGTTTGGCTAGGAAGGGTGTTGACTGGGATTGCGAAACCCATCAGATCCGACCGGCGGGTGGTGGATTTAGCGCGCGTTATCACTATATCACCTCCGCCGTCACTGGGCAGGATTATGGAGTTGAAAAAAGTTCTGTTGTTATTGTTCTTCGGCTGTCGCCAAAATGCGGGGTAGTGCCGAAATCCGTAGCAGCATATACTGCAATGGTCGCGACTTATCGGACCTGAGATCATAGGGGACTAAGAGGGCTATGAATGATTTCTCCGAGCGAACGCGTTTCCTTGCTATACAAATGACATAGTTTTGTCCTAGCGGAAGTGTATAACCCTCTAGTAAAATCAGGACTTTGCTTCTCTCCATTTTAGTGCTCTGTTTGGTTTCAGTACCGCTAGTGGTATCCTTTTCAGAGATTTAACGAAGACATCCTTATTTCATGCCTCAAGTTCACCTGATGATTTTTCAGGTATATCAGGTCCTGTAGAAATCAGTAAGAATGGTACACGTCAACCCACCTTCTACCTTGATGGTTTGGACAGCTCTGGTGTTCAGGTGCTCTATGGAACTGTCGCTGTCAATGGATATAAAGCGGTAATACGTTATCTACGGATCCGTTTCTTCATTCATAAGGAGAAAATGCTACAGTCTTGTTCGCTGCCGATGCCGAGGAATGTCAGTGGGCTGAGTTTCATGCGACAACAATTGATGGAAAACAGACTAGCGTCAAACCAACCCCTGCCCCTGACACGCCCCAGCAATCGCAGCGAACAAGACTGTACATAATGAATGTCTGATGCGGGTCTTATTTTCTAACAATGCATAGATTCTTTTCCCTGGAACCTTTGCCTCAGGAGGTGCCTTACTTTGAGGTGTCCTCGTCTTATTACTTGTGGATGGTATGTAAATCCACCTCTTCAATTTTCGCTCTTCCAAGAAAAATCACTGGATTTTTTTCCAGCAGGAAACCTCACAAAAATATCAAGCTGTCCAATAAAAATCCTAACAATCGTCATTCAAAATTACATGCTTATCCAGGTCTACAAGGCACTGTACAGCAATGAAGCACAGGTATGGTGGGCGAGAGGTGGAGTTCGCCCACTGGCAGTACCTAGATGCGGATTTTCTGGACTTGAGGTAATCGAATCTTTGTTCCACTAAGTTACCCATAAAATTGAAGAGAGACCAGTTTAGAAAAGTTGCAACTGCTTAAGGATTGCACAGAGCAATATGGTCCCAAAATAACCTTCAGAATAGTGGGGCGTTTTTGTAGAGATTCCTACGTCGCAACTCTTATAGTTTAATGGCAAAAAGCATGCTTACCGCCGCGCGGTGTTGGGTTCAAACCCCGGGTCCGCTCCCACCGAAGCAGCCAACCTACCTTCTACCCTCCGGAAACAGTAAATTGGTACCGGTATGTCTGGGAGGATAAGAACACCGACTTTATATCGGCTGCCCTCTGCAGGTCATTGTATAAGCCACATCGCATTTAACAA